ACGGGCAAGAGAAGATTTGCAGCCAGTGAGTTCTGGCTGCCTTTTACGTACTAAGCGGGCGGGGAAGGACTTGTCAAAAAAGTAGCTCAATCTCATTAATCTCAGGTTCCGTTCACCAAATAACCACCTGATACCACGTAAGTTGAGAAAACTAAGACCCAAATATCAAAGCATCTGGCAGGGATACACTTCTCTAAGCTTCCTTTTTAGCTTCCTCTATTTTCTCGGCTCCTCCGTGCCCATTTCCGCCATGACCACAGTTCCTTCTAACTCTCTTGCTAGGGCGCGGTTATCCAGTTCAGCGACTGATGTGCCTCCAATTTCTGGCTTTGCAAAATTCCCCTCTCCTCGATGTAGACCCACCACAGGAGGGGACCGTTTTCTCCGCCAGCGCAGAAACATAGCCGCCGCAATACCGCAGACGACAGGTATCCCCAGCCCAATGCCAACGCCAAGACCGATCTTCGCTCCCTGCCCAAGTCCCTGGTCAACTCCACCATCACCGATTGATGAGGACAACTTATCCGTTGACGTTTCAGCAGGTGTTTGGTTGGAACTAGTGGATGTACCAGATATGGTCGCCGTCGTAGGCGATGAGCTCGGGGACTGCCCCAATTTTGTCGCCAACTCAAACCTCATGTCTGTATCGCAGCATTCCTGCGAGTCTATGGCACCGCAGCACCATTTAGAATCCCGGCTACACTGCGTGATGGGCACACTATAGTTGGCCCTACCGTTCATCTAATCCAGTTAGAACCCATTACGTCCTTGCAGCGCGATCCATAGGGAGACCTCAATCACTCACAGACGGATCCGTGCACACATTCTGCAAACAGTACGGGCTCTGCCAGGCCTGATCTGTACAGGCCTCCCGCCAAAATGTACCAGGGTCATTCTTGCATCCTGAGCGGTGTTGATGGTCACACTTGTTATAGCACAGGCCGCTAGGCTGACACGTATCTGGTATCATACCCCCCGTCCTACAGCACATGCTGAATAGAGTGCCGTTTTGGCATGGAGTGTATTCGTCATTGGGAACGAGGCTTCCATCGGGAAAGTAACAGTCCGCGCCATTTGACCCTGGAACGATGGCGAGACAAAGAAACAGAATTATGTCTCTGAAGCTTGAGGACGCTGACATCGTTACATGTAATAAGAGGAGGATGCAATGGGACGTTTGAGAGCAGACAAAGCGACCCGTAAAGGTTTAAACGGCTTAGTTACTTCACCGCCGTATCATGAAATCCAGATACAATGGAGATTCAGTATGAAGAAACAATGTACTGGATTCCTAAGCAAAAGGACGGACGGGACAGAGGATAGAGGAAGAGAGAGAAAGGAGGTTCTGTGCCATGGGTTCCCCAGGTATCCAGGCACCCAACACCGTGCAGTACTTGGCACCCGGCCATGTTGCCATAACTAGTTATAGTACGCGCATCGCGCCGCGCTGCAGGGTTTATACTAGTAGGAATACGCAGATGGATAGGAAGATCGGTCAAAGGTAGAAATACTGGGGTACATATACTCATGAAACGGAACTGTATGTAATCTAAGGTAATTGAGCCATCACCGTTCAAGGGTCCTCAAAATAGCAGTATTAAAGGAGACTGACTCAACTCCAGAAGATTTCTAATCATGCGTTGCCCTAGGCCAAAATGGGAAAGACCAAGCCGGCGGAGCCCGTGCATACGAGCTAGCCACCTCTTCCTTTTGGGGGCCAATTCTGGGGTTCTCTCGAAGGAAACATCTAAGAGCCTCTAGCAGTAAATTGATTAATCTATCTCTGTCTGTTTTTATATTTATTAATTTACTACGTGGTGGTGGTGGTGGTGTAAATGTTAGTTGAATTAAATCTATAGAAACAACTGTCATTTGGGTGATCCCTTTCATATGGGTGGCGGATCCTCGCTTGCCCGTATTTTTAGTAAAAAGATTGTGGGGCCGGTTAGTGGCTATGCTATATGTTTTGCCGTCTGATTTGGTTGACTCTAGCTAACACGAAGTTGCAAACAATGGAAGATTCGGATCCACGAAAAACAACTAATTACTCCGGTACTGAAGTATTGATACCTCAGTATTAGAACCATCCAGTCCAGGCTAAGTTTAGAAAGCACTGGGTACTTTGTATGATGGTCATTTATAGTAGGCCTCTATGCTTCTCTAGTTTTATTACTACTGAAGTATTGATACTTCCGACAGTAGCCGCTAAGGGCCAAATTTGGATTTTTCTTTTATTTTAATACTACTTCAGTTTTAATACCAATAGAACCATGGCTAGAGTAAGGAGATCCATCGCGCCTATGATCATAGCCGAGTCGGTCGCATTCTTGCCGTGGGTATACGCGAAATGCTGGAATGGTTGAATCGATTGCTCAAGGAGATTGTCCTTCCAGCCCTTCAAATTGGGGCTGCTCCAGCCTCCATAAGCTCGTTTCGCAAAAACTGCACCATTTCAATTTCGGAGAGAAGGAAATTGATTGTACCCGGCGGGTGGGTTTGCGGCTAAGCAACGGACGGGCCTCTGTCGGCCGCCGTAAGGCGGGCAATACATGTGGAGTAACGAACTGATTGACTCTCCAATGGGTGTGGGGCGCCTTGGGCAAGGTTCAGTTATCCCCGTGATCGGGGCCCCCAATCGGTCGCTCATTTTTCAGCCATTTGTCCTGCCACTCCCGTATCCCCTGAGGCTTTTAGCACAGCACAGACTTGTCCGGAAAGTTGCGAGTTTTTACCAGCTTATTATATTCGACTGGCGCAATCGCTGGCAATATTCTGTCAACTTTCCATTCCCCCTTGACCTATCCATACGCCACGGCTTTCAGTAATACTCCAACCCTAGCAGGGAAACGACATAATATGGCGACCCTATCTGACCGTGCACAACAAGCCGTCGAATCGGATGCGGCCATGGAAAAAGAGTTGCCCAAAATGCCGGACTCCAATACAAGGCATTATTGGGTCATAGTTTTGTTCCTCTTTTATGCTGCACTGTCGATCGTCTCCTGGACACTGACTTGTATCATATCGAGCCGCCCACTGAACTTCCCATCTTACTATAACCAGGCAGGTAATTTCACGCCCGAACAATATCAGATCAATGACCGCTGGCGCGAAGCAACGGTGGTCTTACGTACACTAAGTGCAACAATTGCGCTGCCAATCACTACAGCAATTGCATCACAGGCAGCGGTTGTGTACACCCAGCGAAAAAAGGGTCTCTCCCTCCGTCAGATGCTGGCAATAGCGGACCGAGGATGGACGGATATTGGCGTCTTGCTGGCCTGTATTAACCCGGCGATGGCACGATTAATCTGGACGCCGTTTCTTCTATTCGTGCTCTCCCTGACCTTGATAGGTGTGACTGTTTATCTCTGTTCGGTCATGTATTTGTACTAATATGCGATAAGGTGTCATTATCCAGCCACGACCGTCCTGGGGATCGTGGACCGGGTATGCGCAAGAATGCTTTATACTCCTTGTGAAACAGTGGAGGCCTTCCCTTAGGAGTTCGGGACCTTTTTGGGACCTGGGACTCGACAGGGTTTTCATTTTGGAATGAGATCTACATCCTAGATGGACATGTGGCTGAGCTGATCTTCATCACCAAGATGAGGATGACCCAATCGCGCTCAGGTTCAAGTGGTTCATCACCTAAAGGCAAAGGATAAAATAATGTCAATCTGGTCTTTATACCGTGTCCGACATCTTCTCGTAATGTCGAAGCTCAATTGATATTTAACCTGGTTCAATCTATTAGCCAGGCTTCTGCCTATCGCCCAATACGCAGAAGTCATGGTTGATGGAGTTATTTGGCCAGTGTTGGGGATCCACCCGCTAAACCGGCTTGTAGTACTTTAAGAGGTAGATTTACCGTTCTTATTCTTATCTGAAAACGAGGGCGACTTGGTTATCGATTGATTGGAAATTAATCTGGTTGTATGCGGAATGGTTCCGTACACGGAGCTCTATTGTCTAACTTGATCGAACCTCGATTCACAGCAGCCTCAAAAATCTCGGCTACGTGTTTCCACGACAGTGCATGTTATATTACCCTGACTGCCGAAACTGCGGCAACCTATCGTTGCTATTTGCAACAACGCGTAGGGTTGTGTGGCCTTGCCGGCGAAATACGACTTGCTGATTGTCTCGGTAATAAGGATGATAAGATACGCTACTTTCTTTCATAGTCAAGCAATAAACAGACCTTAACACCTGCCAAGCCACTTCAACCTCGGGTGGACAAGAATCCACTCAAAGTGCCCGGAATATCACCATGTCTATCGAAGGTCCACATCGATGCCCTGTTCTCCATGCCGAGCTTCAGAATTAGCTCCAGCAACTCGCTGCCCAACAATTTAGACTATATCGTTAATATAAATATCCAGCCTGTAGTGGTTTAACCTTGCGTAGAACATGATTGCAAACTACGACATCTTAGATGACGTCTACAACCCTCCCTACATTCTTGACTGGGCCCCTATCGAACCATTAGCCCACCTGGACCACCGCCAAGGCTGCCACTATATCTTACCTGGTACTCTCTCGTTTGCTCTATCCGAGTCATTCGTCAAGCGACAGCGTTCCGAAACGGCCAGCTGCTCCAGTGCATGAATCAAATAGCGAATTTTTGTGCGGGAGCCATTAGGTAAGATTGGAAGAGATGGTAAGCAAGCTCTCCGAGCTTCTCCCGAGCTAGAGGTCTCGGACAGACTTTCCCGCATCGAGTGATATTTCCGTAACAGATAATTCTGTTTACATCTCAATGCCTCGCCCATTCATCTCACGCCGAACTGCCTGAAGTATGCCCTGGATCTTTCCTTCCAAGACATCCGTCGGCGGCGATGCAACCAGGGAAGGAGGTCATTTTTTTCCATGAAGACCAGGCGATCTTGTTGATTTCAGAGGTCTTGGTTCTAGACATCTTTTATGACAGGTAAACCACTGAATGAGGATGGCAGTGGAAGGTGAAATAGTGCAAAGATTTGATGCAATAGAAATTGTGAAAGGAAGTCGGTCGAACTCAGGGGTGGTCACAGGTTATCTAGGTTGGAAAGGTTCTACAGCGGCCTTGATTAGTTGCGGTCCTCCGTTGTAACTATGAGTGCGGGCTTGCCCGACAAGGCCCTAGTCGAATAGTTGTCCACCAGATGCTTTTGGACCCTGGTCGATCTTTGGCTTCTATGTAGATGCCGAGGGAGAACAGTGACTGAGAATGAAAAAAGTGCTGTATAGTGCTGTTACCAGGTTCATAGGCTGTTCAAGTTAGCGGAAGAGGCCTGCAGTTTTATGAGGTGGTGGTCTGTCAGTACACTTCACCGGTTGAGAAACGGTCGATATCCGAGGTTATACGCCGCCTTCGGGATAATTATTACGCCCAGTCATATTTTGGTTTAGGCTATGGCCTTTCGCGACGTTCGGCGTGCAAAGGTGAAGTCGTCCGGGATAAAATCATAAATATATAAAAATAAGTTTAGTATCGCTATAAAAGATAAATATCTAATGGTAAATTATAAATGAAAGTAATAAACAGTGGTATAATATCCAGGTAAACAAACGCAAAACAAAATGAATATGAACATAATAATAATAATAAAATGATAAAATTTGCACCTGGTGGGGCGTGGCACCTGGGGAATGCATAGGCCATATTCAACGGCCGTGTCACCTGCTAAGGTTACCTTTCTCTTTTCCCTCTTTTTTTTTTTTTTTTTT